GATACATGAAAACGCGACACAAGTATCGCGACAGCTTGTCTACGACTGGCCCAGTTTCCCTATCTTATTTCAAGTTTTCACTAGCGTGCTCTACGTTACCGGCCGAGCCACGGGGTGTATTTTATACCAGTTACGGCGCGCGGTCTCTATTGTGTCAACATACGGCCTGCGACCGAGCTATAGTCTTCACTGCGTAAATACACATATATAAACCCTAATGCCCGTCCTACAGTACGGTCTGTATACACCACAAGGGGATGCAGTAAAGCATAGTGCTCAGTGCAAGTGCATACTGCATCCCTCCGAATATTAGATTTCTCGGTATCTCTTCTAGTTGTGTACCTACTACGAAATTTTTCACTTCAAACAGGAAACAATGTCGTCCCTGATACATCCCCAACGATCTTCCAACTTTTTACGAATAAAGGCCTAAAAAGTTATAAAAAAATACTTAACAAATTTCTTTACCACCGACTATCGGCGACAATGACATTCGAAGATTTTCAAGGAGTCGAAATAATTTTTCAAAAGTGTCCACGAGTCTTTTGTCGTCTACATGAAAATGGAAAAGAAACGGAGGTAGAACCGTCGAGAATAATAGGTTAGGAAAATTTTACCTTCTTTTTTCACCCTATTTGTATATTCTACCGAGATCCCTTGCCGCCTTACCACCATGATGAATCACCATGATGCGCGTGTCCTGTCATCCTTGGAAGTTCTAAACGTTTCCCCTTCAACTATTTTGAGGTTAAACCTCCCAACGATATATAATATACTGAGCACGTAATTACGTAATATAATATAACTAAATGTACACACGTATATAAATATACGTATAACAATTAGCAGGTAAGAACGATACGTGCATATACACACATATATAGTTACCAAATACATTGGCGTAGTATATAAATATATTAGCATGATAACGAATCATGATATTTCCTGTCATACGCGCATATGCTAATTACAGAAACGAATTAATTTACATGTCAATACTTCAATGAGAAGTTGATTGAATTTACCCGAGGTACATATACGCGGAATATTGATAAGATAGAATTGGGCGACGGAGCGTGGGAGCGGAGTAAAATCAGTAAAGATCGACAACACCGATTTATCGTACGTATGTATGCGGTGTACAATAAATAATAACACCGATTAATATATTCAAAGGCAAATCGATACTATCATCGCTATTGGACCACCGAATTCGCGTGACGTCACGAATTATTCAAATGAATCTTGATTCGGAAGCATCACGCCCATCATATATTTCCATAATCAATGACGTCCACTACTGGTCGTTGATAATTTTCAAGTCGCGCCCGAATCACGTTGTGTACAGTTGGTACATACGACTAATACTGTACAAGCACATAAATATGTATAGGTAAAAAAATTTATATTAAAAAAATATTTTTAAAAATGCAGTCTCGCGAATTATTAGTTCCTATTGAAATATTTTTTTTTTTCCATAGAATTATTTGGTGTGAATAAAATTAAAATGTAAAGCTTCGTGCACAATCGCTCGATTCGCTTAACGCGTTTATACGGTGAACAAGGCGCAAAAGAAGGCAAAGGAGTAAAGAGAGCGGCACGAAGTTAATCGCAATAAAAAGTCACGTTGAGCTCATCGAAGTTAAAATTTATGAGACCCTTTACGAGTTCCTGACGAAAGGGGATCTACGTGGGTACACAGTCGATAGGTACGGCCCTGATAAATATCCTAGCGCTCCCATCCAGTAGGTCTCGTCAAGCCGTTTAAAACTGCTCGCCATTCTTATTGCCTCTGTCGATGCTATTCGACTGGTCAGTTAGAGCTACAGGGCCATTCAGTTATTGCCAAGTACAGAGATACAGCGTCCATTCCCATACGAGTGTTCAGTCGCGAAATTGGCCGATACTGCAATCTCTGTCTTGCTTCCGTAAGTTCTAAAGGCCATAAGTCTGTCTCACTCGCACTTATTGTCGACATAGGATAACGTTGAAAACCAAGTTTACATACTTAGCCGTGTCATTGGCGTAGGTGGCTGTCGACAAATTTCCCCCCATAAGTGAATTAGGGCTTATCGTTATTTCGGATATTCTAACTTTTCTTTTCGACCTTGTATATATATTGCTTTTTTTTCTTGACGAGCACATTTTTTCACTATTTTCTAATATTCTTCGCTCTCCACTCATCCTTGTCCTCTGCAACCACCGCAGGCAACATTCCGACGTCCTAGACGCCATGATTTACGACGCGACACTGACGCGACGCGAATGTTTGCCACTTTTTGCCTCGGGACGCCTATTCAAATGAGTATTTTTCGGCCAGCAGAGACTCATGGTTTTTCACTTTTTTTTTCTTTTTTTTTTTTCTTTCTTTCTAGGAAGGAAAACGAGCGGAGGCTGCTGCTCGTTCGTCGACTGGCCATTTCACGCCTTTTCTACTCGACGACTATGGACCGGGACACGTATACCTACCTACCAGTGTACGAGGAATTAGAATACTTACGGTGTGCTTTTTGTCCACGAGCTTTTCACTGGCAATTGCAAAAAAAGAAGTCACGTATACGGAGTGACGGCAAATAAGGACGTGGTACATTTCTTCATCATTTTTCATTTTAATTTCCGTCAATTTCCGGCAACACTAAAATTAAAAAGCAAACAGATGAAAATAAATAGAAATCAATATTGACAAAATTGAATCGATATCGGGTTTGCTCTTTTATTTTGGTCCGGTGCGATGAAAATGTCCAGGAATCGGACGTTCTTCCAATATAATTCGTCTTTTCGTCTGGAAAACTGGTAATTAAGAAAAGTTTTCTAATAAACTCAGCTCGAGTGGAAAATACATAGGTAATCCTTGCGATGCTTGGTAACCCGGTCTGGTGGATTTCTGATTCCTGGAGTTGCGTGAATGTTCATGCGGGAGAGAGAGAGAGAGAGAGAAATCATCTCTCGAAGTGGGAAGAGGGGCAGGAGAGAGAGGGGGGGGAGAGGGGGAGGAGATATATAGTTTATTCGATCGTAGGAAAGATATGCTTTTGCCCTTTGTCGATGAAAGGATACATAAGTGGAAAGAGCCCGATGCGTCTCTAGACTGGGTATACACGTAGAGCAAATACATGTGATGGAGGCAAATAATGTGGATCCTGAAAAAGCAAAAAAAGGATGTAAATGCTATCGGTAAGAATAAACAAGAAATTTATACGCGCGACTCTGTGCAAATAACGGAGAGGAAAGGATTTTTTGAAATGGAAAATCGCATAGGAGTTACGAATTTAATAATTACCTATCGTAACACCATTTCTGTGCGGGAGAAATAATTTTGAAATTTTTCATTAACATTTTTCAAAAAATTTTTTTCACCGGACTTAAAGACCCTTCGGATTCAGGGGACTTATTTACGTTGTAATACATAAGACTGTCGCCCCTCGATCCGACTGTGTACGCATGGTATTTTGTGTTGCGCTAAAAAAAATATATTTTATCATAATTCGTAATTTGAACGTTTAACAGACAATAATGAAAATTGAACGAACTTGATACTTTGAAACACCCGGTAGCCTGCTGCAGGAACGGGATACGATCTCCACTCAGGGATTTTCTATTTCCTGTATTCTCTTTGGGGATGGCGTAGTGGTGTGTTATTCCGTGAGAGAAATCGAATGGCATCGAAGATAATTTAACTGTTTTCGGAAAGTGGGTCGTACCTTTCTATCTTTTATTTTCTTTTTTTTTTTTTCTTTTCGTTTCTTCTCCCTCTATCACGACCAACGCCACGTACGCCGACACGAAAATAGAGGTCAGAGGTCGGAGGGCTCTCGACTACCAGGACTCTGTATAAGGGTAATGTGGCAATAGGGGTTGCCAGTCAGCCTTGTGTCTTCAGCCATGGAAAGGGGTGGAATTCCTTTGCCCCGAAAATCACTTGGCGACTCTTGGAGACGGAATTGGGATAGATATACGCCATTCGGGGATGAAACTATTTCGCGTTAGGCCACATGGGAAAAGTTAAAGGGGGAGCAAAAGTGGATTTTAAAGGTGATCTCGCGCTTCAAGAGTTTCTACGCATTTCGGTTTATTTATTTTTTTCAATTTATCCTCGCTCTTCGACCTACGAAGAATCGTAATCGTATGGCTGGTAAGGGACTTTTTTTCAGTTATTAAAAAATATCATCCCCTTCCCCGATCACTGCTGTATATAAATATTATTTTTCAATTTTCGTCATGGGTCAGGCTAGAATCTAATCGTCTGAATCGAACGTGGGGGTAGCAATAAAAATTAAAAAAAAAACTTAAACCCCCTCGGTTGAAAATAAGAAAAAGTTTGCCAGATTTCAACGGGAACCCTCCCAACTTCACCCCCCTGCTTACAGCATCTCACCCCTAATAATTCTTGCCAAAGGCCATTAACATGTTGAATTCACTGGTAGCGCGTCTGCGTTCATTATTACAATATTGATTCACCCCTTTCACTAACTTTCCCCCATTCCTTATCAATTTAGACCCGTGGTCTATTGTGTATTGGATACAGCAATATTTGCCCAGGCTATGATCCACTCTGCCCCTTCAGGTTGCTTCGGGGAAATTGTTGGGCGCAGATATGGACCAGTGAGAGATAAAGAGGAGGGGAAAAAAAGGAGAGAAAAATAAAACGATAGATAAAATCGACGAGGGGAAAACAAAAAGCGGTTGGATCGTGAGCGAAAAAATACGTGCACGAATAATTTGAAACGATTCCGTGATAAATTATCGATGACAACGAATGAAAAATGAAATAAAAATTATGAAAATAATGGAATTGCCATTTAGCCACGGATGGTTACGCGAGACAGTAATAAACTGTCTGGCACTCGCATTACGGCAGTCTCAAGTATATCATCCTTGTTGATTTATGTATAGGCATTGAATTACGCAAGATTTGGTAAAGCGCGAAGAATCAGAAGCATAAGGAATAAGATACAGAGTCGAAGAAAAATATAGAGATATAGATATTAAGGAGCTCAGAGTTTAATGCTAGAAGATATATACATATATTTATGTCTCGACGAACAAATCAGACAGAGAGAGAGAGAGAATTACGAAATGGAAAAGAACCACCAGTTACCTGTATTTCGCCAAGTCTCTCGAGGCTTTTGAACGCTTTGCGAGCTCCGCAAAACGAAAGGGATTCTCAATCCTCGCTGCTCTTACATATTTCCATTTAGCAAATGCGAAGTAAGTATCCTGAAGATCGAGGATAGCACCGGGAGACATTTGTTCTGTACTTTATTATAATACATATTATATTATTTAGACATATACACATATTCGTACGCAATAAATATATAATATACATACATATAGCTGTATCAGGTATAAATATTAACGCGATCGCACGTATGTAGTGTATAAAGGCAAGAGATGGCTGGCGAGGGTAGCGAGAGTGCTCAGACAGAGTCCAGAAGGGAGAAGCAGCGTGAAGGAAACGTGATTCAAAAAGCGATGACATGGAAGAAATCTCGTTACTCTGTGTTCTTTCGCTGTTGCTGGCTCCTTCGGGCGGTCGACGTACGCGATTCCGCCGACAGTAACGTTATCTATAATGGGACAACGTCTAGCAAGCAGAAACGTAAGTGACGCACGAAAAGCACAACCTCTCCTTCCTTTGGTTCAACCGCTCAGATCGGTGTCCCTGTCCGACAACGCAGCGTCCACTGAATCCCTTTTCAAAGTGAAACTGAATGTTTGAACGAGAACGGGTAACGGCAATTTCCACTACGAGCACGAACCTCGACCTCCCGCTCGTAAAGCAATCACAGTAACCGATTCTTGCCGGCATCCCGTTCGAATCAAAGCGCATCGTTATTTACTACAGATTCTCAACATTTCAACCTGTGACTGTTTACCCTTACATAGGTACAACCTATTTGATTCTACGGATTTGTGGGGTAACTGAACAGTAATGGAGGTTGTCCTTGACAGATGTCACTACGGTATCAGGGCAAAGAAGGAAGTGCCGCGAACAATGTTCCGGATCTATCGATAAGTGATGCAACGTGTTATCGACGTCATTACCTACTGTCGATAAAGTAGACTGGACGGTTGAACCAGTACGACGTGATAATAATCGTTGACCGAAGATAAGTAGATCAAGCGTTGCTTCGAAAATTTTTATCAGATATTCACAATCAACGAAAATATTTTAAAAGTTCGAGGTCTCTAATGGATAAATTTGGATATAAAGTTAAAACAAAAGTGTGATATTATAGTTTAAATATTCTTTTAGATACACGACGAAACATTGGATTTATCTATTGCGTCAATTCGCTCTTAAATGGATAATGAGGATGATTCTCGACCCTACAAATAGAAAATATTTAGTCAATGCCTTGAAACTATAAGGTGGCGTAAAACATTTACAGTGGCTTCAGCTTACCCTTTGACGAACAGGAAATCGAAAATGCGACCTGCGGCCCCACGATCCAAAGCATCCATTTGCTTTAGTTCTTCGTTGGACAATTCAAAATCAAATATATCCGCGTTGGACTTGATTCTGTCTGGTGAGGAACTTTTTGGAATGACAATAATGCCTTGCTGAACTAAGTGTCGCAGTAGAACTTGAGCAGTTGTTTTCTTATGGGCTTCGGCAATTTTTTGCACTACCGGGTGACCGAGTAGATTCGGAAACTTGTCAGGATCGTATTTGGACATTCCTTGGAAAAATGTCTTGGAACCTGGCGAACCCAGAGGACTGTACGCCGTCACTGCAATTTTCTGCTTTTTGCAAAACTCACGTAGTGGTTTTTGCTGGATATAAACATGCAATTCTACCTGCAAAATGAAATGTCGTGTAAGAAGAAACTACCAACTTCCAAATCAAAATTCAAATAATTACCTGTAAGTTGCTTGGCTTTATTTCTGAATTATTTATTATCTCAAGAATTTGATCCTCGTTAAAGTTACTCAGACCAATCGACCTGGCCCGTCCACTTTTCACCTGCTTTTCCATTTCCTATGAGCAAAAAACAGTTATTAGCTTAATACCAATAATACATAAATAATTTATTGCATTATATTCATTACAGACCTTCCATACAGCGACGGGATCGGTGTCTAAGTTCAGCACGACACTTCCGTCGTCGCGCTTAAGCGGTGCTTCAGCATTTTCATCTTTAAGAACGCTAAAGGGCGCATGAATCAAGTACATGTCAACGTAATCCAATCCAAGCCTTTCCAAAGAGAGCTTCAGGTACTTCTCCACCTGGCCAGCACCGTGACCATAAGACGGTAGCTAGACAGACAAGTCAAATTAAATAAAACTTAATATTTCTTAATAGAACAACCCGTCACAATGATTACTTTTGTCGTGACGAATAATTCTTCTCGTTTACCGCCATTTTCAAACCATTTTTTTAGAGTCATACCAATGGCTTCTTCATTTCTATAAACGAAAGCAGTATCGATGTGCCTGTAACCATTCTCCAAAGCCGTTCTTACGGCCGTTTCAATTTCTTCTGGTTTCGCCTGGAAGAACAAAAACAGAATCTTCTGATACCATTGACAACAAAGTAAGTACAAGGAGATCAAAATATCATAGATGTTATAATGATTTTTTTTCAGATTCAATGGACAATTGTATTCTGGATCTCTGGTGGTACAATTATTTAAGATATTATTAAATCACCTCCCATGTGCCTAGACCCAAGATGGGCATCTCGTAGCCTGATGATAGTCTTATCGCCCGTTTAGCCATTCCTGTGGTAAGTTCCAGCGCTGCGAATAGACTGAAGTAACAGCGTTAAGCTAATGTCCAAGAGATTTATAACCTTCAGTATTACGTACCTACCTCCCACTCGAGCCCCGTCTCCCGTTAGACTAGAATCTCCCGTCATATGTCAACAACCTTTGCTGATTAGATACAGCTGCTCAGCCGCAATATAAGACAGTCTGGGGCTACTGATAACTGATTGGTGTCCCATATGGATCGTTGAGATTAACTGCTGAGGTAATTCCTTGTAATTCTTGAAAAGAAACACATATTCTTTTGATTTGATACTTGTACTGGGGAATCAGCAGCTTCACGTTTGTAATTACTATCTCATGACTTGAAACAATGAAATTGTTATCAAACTAGACGTATTTCATTGAATCGACAATTTTTGTCTTAGTTTATAATAAAAAAATAATTCACCAATAAATATCCGTGTTAATTTGGCTAATGAAGAGACATGTAATTTATGTGATGAAAATTTTAATGCCATTTTTTAAATAAGTTTTCGAATATACGAGAAAGTGGTCGTTGCTTGAAGCTAATGTTAAAACTTAAGCCTTGAGATGCTGATTCATAAAGTATTAATCGGTTTGTTGTACATTGCACAACTGATCAGATAAATTTATTGCACGAAATACTGAAATGAAAAGAATTACCTGATACCCCTCTGTGGCACGGATAATGATTCTGCAGTTTTCTGAACTGAGTGACTTTACAAAAATCCTAGTAGGAAACATTATGGATGTCACGCGTGGATATCTATTTATTCTTATCATTTCAGTATTTGTCGCAACATGGTTATCATTTAGGCATCTTATAATTAAAGTTAAGGAATTGATATCTCAAGGCTTAGATTTTAAATCTTTGCACTCCGAGTGCTTATTTTACTTAAGAGTCCAGCAACTCCGATAAACTAGGCATTTTAACTGTTTTAGGTTTTTTCATAGAATAATCAGTGGCGCAATAGCGGCGCCTACGGAATGCAAAGGGTTACGAATTTAGCCTCAAGTAAGGAACTATTTTCTTATATATCTGAAAACTTAATTGAAAACGGCATTAAAATTTTCATCACACATAAATTATATTTCCCTTTATTAGCTAAATTAAAACAGGTAGTCATTCGTGCAATATGTTTTTATTATACACTCAGAAAAATGTGTTGGTTCAATAAAATAAGTCTAGCATCCTCTCGAATATTTCTCCCAGTCAGTAAGTTGATACATCATTGTGGACTTCCCTATCAATTTATTCTAAAACAAGATTTCTTGACCCCGTTAACGTGTTTTCTTTAGAAACTGCTTATTGAATCTGCATTCAATAATCTGCATTCAGATTTTTGACATCTGATTAAAATTTATATGAAAAAAATGTAAAACAGTACAGCACCGAGTATCTTTGTTAATTGGCTGGTGAGAATATGTTCATGATAAAAGTTCTAGCTTTCATTTTCTTATAACTATTTATTATATATAATGTCTCTTTCAATAGAGGCTGAATTTTTTGTTACAGAAGAGGATAAGAAGATGCTGGATTAAGAAACAACTGCAGTGGCAATTCGCTATTGGCTCTCAGGTCTTTGAGTACGATTCGTCAATAATTTTGTCCAGCAAAAGTATCCGGAGTGCTTTATTTACAAAGTGATACACAAAAAATGGTTTACAAACGTAAACCGCAATTTCACATGCAGCGCGAAATGTTCTAGAAACTTTCACAAAAGGTAGGACTAGCTTTTATGTCTGCATGCTGCAAGAAAGTTACATGAGGTTTATAGTGTTAACACGTAATAAGTTTATTACACGAAGCGACATTGGATTTATCTATTGCGTCAATTCGCTCTTAAATGGATAATGAGGATGATTCTCGACCCTACAAATAGAAAATATTTAGTCAATGCCTTGAAACAATTAAGGTGGCGTAAAACAGTTACAGGCTTCAGCTTACCCTTTGAAGAATAGGAAATTGAAAATGCGACCTGCGGCTCCACGATCCAAAGCATCCATTTGCTTTAGTTCTTCGTTGGACAATTCAAAATCATATATGGCCGCGTTGGACTTGATTCTATTTGGTGAGGAACTTTTTGGAATGACAATAATGCCTTGCTGAACTAAGTGTCGCAGTAGAACTTGAGCAGTTGTTTTCTTATGGGCCTCAGCAATTTTTTGCACTACCGGGTGACCGAGTAGATTCGGAAACTTGTCAGTGCTGTAATTGTACTTTGCTTGGAAATGCGCCTTGGCACCTGGTGAACCCAGAGGACTGTATGCCGTCACTGCGATTCTATGCTTTTTGCAAAATTCACATAGTGCTTTTTGCTGGTGATAAGCATGCAATTCTACCTGTGAATGAAATCCCACGTAATAAGGAGCTACCAGCTTCTGAATGAAAGTTAAAATAGTTACCTGTAAGTTGCTTGGCTTTATTTCTGAATTATTTATTATCTTAAGAATTTGATCCTCGTTAAAGTTACTCAGACCAATCGACCTGGCCCGTCCACTTTTCACCTGCTTCTCCATTTCCTATGAGCAAAAAGAATTATTAGTTCAATACTAAAAATACATAAATAATTTCTTACATTATATTCATTACAGACCTTCCATACAGCGACAGGATCTGTATTTAGGTCTAGTACGTAACTTCCGTCTTCGCAGATAACCGGTGCGTCGGCATTTTCTTCTTTAACGAATGCAAAGGGCATATGCACCAAGTACATATCGACATAATCCAATCCAAGTTTTTGCAAAGAGAGCTTCATAAACTTTTCCACGTCAGCAGGTCTATTACCATAATGCGGTAGCTAGACAGACAAGTCAAATTAAATAAAAAAAAGGTTTCTAAATAAAACAACCAAAGCGATCGCAATGGTTACCTTCGTCGTGATGAATAATTCTTCCCGTTTGCCGCCGTTTTCAAACCATTTTTTTAGACTCTTACCAATAGCATCCTCATTATTGTAATTGAAAGCTGTATCAATGTGCTTGTACCCACTGTCCAAAGCCGTTCCTACAGCCGTTTCAATTTCTTCTGGTTTCGCCTGGAAAAACGAAAATAGAATATTCAGATAACATTGACAACAAGATAAGTACAAGGAAATGAAAGTTTCATAGATATTATAATGATTTTTTTATCTTCCAGATCAATGTGTAATTGTATTCTGGATCTCTATAGTATTACAATTAGTTAGGATACTGTTAAATCACCTGCCATGTGCCTAGACCCACGGTGGGCATGTCATATCCTGATGACAGCCGTATCGCCTGCATCGCTAGTCCTCTGGTGTATTGCAGCGCGGCGAATAGACAGAGCTTCGAGCCGGAAATTACGCTTGAATATATTACACAACTCTGTTATTTTTAGTAACCCCCCTGCTGCTAAGACATTTGCGAAAATCTATCTTTATTTTTAAACATTGCTAGGCCACGTGCACCAACTAAAGTCACCAAGGTTTCATTACCACTCTTAGCATAGAACTATAACACAGAATCCTTGCTTTTAGTGAACACGAAAAGGACTTAGGATATGATTTTGTAAAATCTGACAGTGCGACGCAATGAAATTGAAGAAAATTAAAATACACTGACTAATGATGTAATTTTTGTATGTCAATGGGATGAATTGTCTAAAGGTGTTTAAGGATTGAATTACCGGCTGTAGACTTGCTTTCTGGTATCACTGTTATCAGAAAAACTGTCGGGCTTGGTGTAAAGTATCCGTATACAAGATCTTTGATAATTATTTGTTAAATCGTACGGACTATTCTGGATAATTGCGAGATGTGGGAAACAGAAGAAGAGACGTTAAGGATTGCTTGAATGCTGAGAACAATATCTATGTGACAACTATTCGACGATCAATAACTGGCACGACTTTACGAAAAGTTCACGTTTGTATATTGTTAAGACTCTCACTTTCTGCGGATTGATTTTCTCTGGAATTTTCTAGATTTTCGTACACGCGCTTGGGGAAGTTGTGTCTATATAGTATTTTCAAAGAATGAAATACTAGTTCGAGCAGTTATTCTTAGATGGGGGTATTCCTCGAATCGTATTTAATTCCTAACCTTACTATTTGTATTGCTATTTGCCATCAAGAATTACAGGCTAGTAGAAGTGATTTCTGATTATATATTTGGAAAGATATTTTTCACAGAGAGGAAAGATATTTTTCATACGTCGGTGAGTGATAACTTTTTATTAATTCAATGACATACCTGTTATATAGCATTTTTATATTTTGTACTTTACTGCAGGAGGTGAACTTTTCCTGATCAATCTAGAACAAACATTAAACTAGTAGTAGATTAGATTTGATATCATACTTGCGAATAGAAAGTAATTTGCAAACATGTCAGGAACCTCTCCAAAGCAAACATTATTTAAAACATTTTTGCCTGCGTTTGTCATGGTTCCAGTTTTAATGGCATTCCATTTAGCCTGGTATAAAATGCAATACAATGATGCATTAATTTCTCCGGAGGAGAGAAATAGAATAAAAGCATTTAAGTTTCTTGACAAGTACAAATTTTTAATAGGTGAGGATAGCACAACAGACGTTGAGAAAACTGAATAAATATTGGTTATTATTTGAGTGATGTAAAATTTTATTTGTAATAAATAGTTGTAAAAGTAAACTATGTTAATTTTGTATAAACTTTATTTAACCACATTTGTAAATACAGTCATGTTGAAAAAATAAAAACTGTAAAGAAACAAAATTGCTTGAAACTCTGAAAGTGCTTCTGTTAAAAATCAACATTATCTGTAACAATCATGATTGTGAATTAATACACATTTCAAAGCACTAAGTATATATTACAATTATGTATGAGGCTCACACCCCTCATATCGTGGGTAAATGATCAAAATCCTGCTGATGATGTAGCGATGAACTTCGTGGTCGAGTTTCGTTTTGATTATGACTGTGAATAACACCAGCAACTTTTGGAAGTTGGGGTAGCACCATTTGATTGTAGTTTGTATTCTGAAATGCATATCGGTAGCACTGAAAATATTTGTATTCGAACTCTCATGCTTTATTTATAGTAAAATAAATTGCAATAATTGTTTATATGACATACTATATTGTTGAATTTCACAAACTCACTCTGGATCGGTCACGATATTTCCTAAGCTTTTCAAACTCCTCTAGTTCACCTTCAGGCATTTTGTAATAAAAGTTCTCAAAGTAAATATGTTGCAGAAGTTGATCGCAGGTCCACCTCAATTCAGGATCCTTATCCAAACACTTTTTCAAAAAGTCAATCTACAAGTCAAATCCGTCCATTACCTTTGTATACACTCAACAAAATATTCAGACAATGTAATAAAAATATTTTTTTTCATACAAGCTCACCTGTACAGGAGTATTACTTCGGTTTGGTATAGCATCTTCAAGAGGAGTAAGAGTCTGTGGTGTAGGCAAGGTAACCCCAGCAAAAAATTCATTCTGCTGAAAAATCATCATGTGCCGTGGTAAAAGGTCACCCAAAGTTCTTCTTATTAGATACAGTTGATCGACATCAGACTTTCCTGGCCACAAAGCTTCTCCACGAATCAATTCAGCAAACACGCAACCAATAGCCCAAACGTCCACTGGTGTTCCATACTGAGTATCTCCTACCTATAGAGTAAAATGAAGAATAAAGTATTTAAAGGATCTCAAATAGTTTAATTTTACAGTTTCATAATAATCAAAAACTAAAATATACCCACCAGTAACTCTGGCGCCCTATACCATCTGGTGGCAACATATTCAGTATAATTTTCACCAGGACTAAGCATTCTAGCGAAACCAAAATCACAGAGCTTGACAACACCATCAGCAGTAATAAGAATATTCTCAGGCTTGACATCCCTATGCACGCATCCTAGTCTATGACAGTAAGCAACACCCTGAAGAATCTGCCAGGTGAGTTGCCTTATCGTTATCTCAGGACAGCCATTTGGATACTTTTCCATTTCATTGAGCAAGGTGTGTTCGCAGTACTCAAAGACAAGATGCAACTTCCTCTTGCGCCTGAAGACTTCCAGAAGGTTTACCAAGTTTGGATGCTTAAGATTCTGCAAGAAGAAACAACCAACAACATAGAAAAATTGATTATGAGTTTAAAAGTATCCTGCCATTCCTGTTTCCAACATTCGTATTCTTCATCAACTTAGGTATATTTCCATTCGACCTTAAGAACATGGTGGTACCAATGTGCAAAATGTTTCATGCATATTTATAAATACTAGTCACCTTATATGCTGCCAGCTACACCTACGCATCTAGTTCAGGCAAGAACCTATCATTTCAAAGGACTTCTATGACAAGAGTTATTAATAGCAACACTGACTTTGTATTCATGAAGGAAAATCCTTGAAATGAAATGTCAGAGGATCACACAATAGAAATCCTTCGCCAACCCCCTCTTCATTTTTCGTGCATACATCCCCTAACAAGTTCCTGATTACTTGGATAAGACCACGAGGGAACGTTAAGGCCAGAACACGCCAAGATATTGACCGCTACGTTATTGACCAGTGGCCATTTCTACACTAAGCGTACGCCGTCGGTTTGCATGTCCACATACAATATTACACGTTATCTGTGTGTACTTATCAGGATGTCTTTTTAAAACAGCTCGCTCTAGAAACTCTAACCTGCGGTGAAGATCTGCATCATGATAGAGAAGCGACCTGACATCCCTATAGTTACACCAGGAACATCTAAGATCTCATGCGAAATACGGCGACCTAAGGTCATTCACTCTCGAAGTGACCACAACCCCTACGCGCCGAGCACTTAAATTCGATCGCACAAGGGGTTGTATAGAACATTCTGCTATGGCTATCTCGAATTATTTTATACAATTTTAATTAAGACTTACCTTTAATAGACGAATTTCCCGAAGCGCTATTTTCCGGATCAGCGGATCATCTTCTGTCTGTTGAAATTTCTTGACAGCCACTAAGCGACCCGTTTGTCGATCTCTGCATTGAAAAACTACCCCGTAACTACCCTCGCCTAGACGTCCCAATCTCTCGTATCGTTCCATGGCCTTGCTGGGCGCCCGTGACCTGTAAATATAAAATAAATTATTAAAGACAATAAAAGCCAGTATAAATTGTGATATGTGATACCAGAGGGAAGATACGATACTTGGCTAAAAGAATTTTATAAACTTGTCAATATAAAGAGTAGTAACTATTTTTTTTAATTAGCTTATGACACGTAATTATCACTAATCGATCCTCGCAATTGATCGGTTTACTTAAAGTTCACGTCGCATTGACCGATTTTTGTTTATCTTCCCCCTTATCATTCTCTTGCTATCAGACGATAAACGTCGATTGTTAGTTTCAAATTTATTTCAGACTCCATTCGCTCTTTAGCAATTTAGAATATCTTTTTTATATGTTAACGCACTTCTTGTATTTGGCCAGGCACGGCAATGTGAACTGTTGCGCAAAGAGCATGCTACCACGGCGAAGGCCAGGGGCCCAACTGTTTCTCTTAGCAGACAATAACCAAGGGTCAAGCTCCCCTGCTAGTTTGATTTTCCTCGCGGATGGTCCGCACGTGCGCACTTCTACTCTTGGTGAACCGATCCCAATATAGGTTTCAGTCATTGTTTCTTTGTTTTATGTAAATTCGACAGTACACTTGAGGTTTGCGACAGTTCCGGTTGTGCCAGACTATTTGAAAGTAATATAGAACATACTATAGCCCAAATTATGTGAATAAAGAAATTAGACGACCTTGAAAATCTTACCAGAGAAAAAGACGCTGTCTGTAATTCGCGTATCTCATATCGTTGAACATTTTTATGTCGCCCCATTCGTTTTAACATTTATTACAAAAAAAAAGTACAGATAAAACTTTCAAAAATTCGCGACGCACCCCTAGAACAATACTTAAATTGACTTTACATTGTTAACCTGTAAAAATACTAAAATTCTTTTTAAAAAAATGTCACGTTACAAAAGTGTCAAATACATTCATTTGACAAGGGTCAGATCGATTTTTATATGTAATCGATAAATGATCACCGATTCGCTGATGTTTTTTTTTTGGGGAATTTTGTATTTTTTTCATTATCAATACACGAAATTTCAGATAGCACGGAGACGTTTACAGGACACTGAAGATATTTATTAATCTTTACAGTCGTCTATCAAGTGTTAGAAAGATAATTAAGAAATTTCTTATGTCATCAGCCAAGATGTGTCATTCCAGAAAAATCTCTATAAGATGTTTAAAACACTAAATTTTAAAGTCTTAAGGACCACTGAAGACAGGTGTCCGGTGGAATTCTTCTAGTGGTATCTGTGACGTACTTATTTTCGAACAAAGACAAATATGGCTGACTGTTACTCTTTAGCAGTAAAACTATATGACGTTTACTTATTAAATAATATATTCCATGAGTAATATTCATATTTACTTACAGGAGCCCGAAAATGGCGTTCATCGGAATCCCTGAACAAGACACCTTTGTCCAAGCACATACCGAGTGATACTAATGTACGTGGTTCTTTCTGGCAGCTTTGACGCTTTTTATAAACTTCTTGATTATTGACAATCAATAGTTTTCGCTATAACACCAGGACTCAGACCCTGACCACGAAGAGTGACGTCATTTAAAACGCCCGATAAAGGAACGGACGTTTTCCAGTGGAAATAATGAAAGTCAATTTTGGTTCACACAAAGAAATTTCCTACTCCGACGATGCTTATCTTTAATAAATTGCAGGAGAGACATTTTACGTCGTAGGTTTGTCCATTTATTATGCTTTTTTTATTCTAACATCGCATTTGGACGTATGTATGACGTTCTTGCCTATCTCGTAGCGTCAGACTCGAAATAAATGCAAGAATCGTATTTCTATTACGTAGGGAAAAGCTAGCGTGTAACTTTGTGATATTTTAACACGTTTCCACAACTTCGAAAATTAACCTTGACATTCGAACTACCTTTTGCTATACGTAATTCGAAAAGACGTCATTATTACCATAGCATTTCTAGGTTAAACGTTTTGTTTACGTAACCTAATAAGTATTTTCAATATTACCGAAGAATGGTTAATCAAAGAAAATAATTTCTGTAGTCCAGAATAAATTGTCAATACCTAAAATAATGTTCAAAATCTATATCGTACAACTATAATACTTACTACTTTTTACTATAATACTCGCACATAAAATACTTTGGTAAAATGACACTCCTTTGTTTCCAAAAAAAAAAATAGATACACAGTGGAAAATAAAAGATTGTTTAATTCAAGCCACGTTGAAATAATGAAAAGGAAATAATAAAAGAACTAGAATAATATCTTACCTTCTTGGCAACAAGGGTAATGTACTACCAAACAGCCAAAGCTTTCTGTCTTGGAACCATTTGTCCATACGAAGGCTTCTTTATTCTAACGCAATGCCTAGATTGGAGTAGTACAGACACATTGGCGGATTTATTCTTACCGATACTCGATTAATTAATAGGAATACTTCCGCCCGCTTGGACATCATTATACAAGCTGCAAAAGCTGTTGCACGACTAATCCGTTCGAGTTTTGTTTGATCGTGTCGAAGGGACGCGTCATCATAGTCAAGCGCGTCACAGCTGATCGATATTTCTATGAACTAACGTATTTCGCATAGTTACATCTAGCTAGAGAGATGGAGCAGAAAAATCATAGGGATTTTTATTCCGTTCAATTTTTTTGTCACTTGAATTATTTTATTATACACTTTACGTACACAAGCTATACACAATGGTCCCTGCCTCTATACACAATAACAATTACTATATTGATTTGATACACTTATCTTTTCATTTTCTACGCGATTCATAACCTATATGAATTTTCGAACATGTTTCTACGTGTGAACGTCATTCAGGAAGAATGTAATTTTTCACTGGCTTCTTAATTGTGGCAGTTTTTAAAAATTCTTTTTCATTAATAATATCTTTTTAGACACTCTTTGTATTTCTCTGTGCGTCTTGCAGCGGTTTTGGCTTTTCCACGTCCTGCGTGTCACCGTGTACAGTAAAGGTCACGAAGTATCTTTTACTGCGGTCCAATCTTTCGGCTGGTAGAGCGATTATCTGTTTTTCTTCTCCGTGGCTGACCTCAACCTTCATAAGAATATGTGATGAGGATAATATATTTTTTGTTATAGGATTATATTGGGTCTTGATGAATTACCGTCATTTGACCTTTTCCACGACCTTCGATCTTTGGCAAGAGACTTTCGGTTCGTTCTGGAATCCCTCCACCAACTGGAATTACAATCTATTATCACATTGCGTATGTGTCATTAAGTCGATCATTATCTAAGTAACTTGGTTTTACTTGATTTGTTGTCTGTAAATGATTTTGACCTACGATAGGTGTAAACTGGTACTGATGTGTAGGCACTGGTTGCGTGATGACATCGATGCGTTTTTTGAGTACATTGCTTAGCTTCTGTGCACCATTCAGGTGTTGCTGGACGTTTCTGAAGTCTTCTTAGTTGTTCGTATAAAAATGCTTCAAAGTGTCTAAAAAGTAAGTAATAATAATTATAGATTGGAATAATGTTGGAAAGAGTTAATTAAATATTTCCTAATTTAATAATAACCTGAATGTCAAGGGTTGATCATATTTAGCAACTCCCAGAGCTGGTCCAGCAGTTCCAGCTCTGTGGAAAGCTTCGACCTTTGGTGAAAAAAAGATTTTTTAAATAAATACCTTGTTTGATTCAGGAAAAGAAACTTAGGGGAAAAATTTTACCTGTCTCTTCACTAAAACTTGTTCGTTAGCTCGACCGTGACGTATCTGAAGTCTCTTGAGTTCCATTAATTGAAAAAATATTTTTCTCTCCAAGTGATAACGTCGCAGACTTATTTGAACGTCTCTTGTAATTGTCTCCATACGTAATGCTTGTTGTTTTTCTGTATTTGGATAACACTTGATTGTTCTTTTTGGTATTCTTGATATTCTAGGACTTGGTTCTATGCCACTGTCCCTGCCGCCGCTGTCCCTACGCTGTTTCGTCCTGGGTCTGGCTCTTCGAAGTTCTTGAGGACTTTGTGCTCTTAACAAACGAGGTCTTGGTCTTGGGTGAACCTTGAAATGTTTTTTTTGGATTGATAAATTAATAAAAATTATTTAATTCTCTTTGTATGATTTTACCTGGGGAAGTGATTCCATATCGGAAGTCCTGGACTGACCAGGACCAGTTCTTGGAGTATCATCTTCACTGGTACTTGGCAGAACCCTCATCACACCTAGACTGTTGTCTTCTTCCGGTTCGGTATCCTGTTCTATGTCTTCTCCAATCGCTTCACGGATTTCCTTCTCAATTTCCTCATCTTCTTCATCCTCTTCCCATTCAGGACTTTCTATTACTGCTACGATAGCGCTTCTATCAGGGGAACAATCCTCTGAACTTTCTATTAGACTCTTTTTTGATCTTGCAGAGTCTGATCGGCCCTTGCCTGTGGATGGTCTAGAACATCTGGGCATCTTTGAACGTGGGGAACTCGTACTCTTTCTTTCGGATGAACTATCATCTATGAATCGAAATGCTTCTGTTTCTGAAAGTGGAATTTTACTTATTTCAAGATCTTCTTCGTCGTCCATACTCTTTTCTGGATGCAGCTCTGATTTTTGTAAATTTTCTAAACTCTTTGGAAGGTCCACCCTGTTCGCTTCTCCGTAATTAGTCTCAGCTTTTTTAATTGATGATTTTGTACTTTTTGGAGGTTGATCAAAATTCTCAAGGTCAGTATCTTTTTCTTCATGTTGCTTTTCTTCAGCTTTTGAAGATTCTAATGACTTTTCTATTACTCTAGACACCTCTTCTTCAGGATTCTTTAATGATGCTTCAAGGGTACTTTTATCTGGGGAATCCTTCTTCGTGGATTCTATGGATCTGCTTCTTGATTCAGAAAGAGACTCTCTCTCGGAAGAACCCATTGTTCTACTGCCAGGAGAATCTATTTTCTTTTTTATTTCTTTCCTTCTCTTCTGTTCACCTTTTGATTGAGTCTTCCCTTTCTTCTTTCCCGTATCTATTACTTTAGTCTTATTGTTCATTTCAGTACCTTCACTTCGTTCCTGGGAAGAGGATTTCGGAGGTGACCCAGACTTTTTACTATCCGGTGAAGACTTATCCTTGGCAGTACTAGGTCTACTCTTTGATGCTGAAGATTTCTTGCTCTTTGTAACTGTCTTCAATTTATCTTCCTTTCCTGATGAATGTGCCAGAGCACCTTCAGAACTCTTCGCAGAAGATTCCTCTCCAGAAGGGGCTTTATCCTTGACACGACTCGTTCTCTCATCGTTCACTGAAGTTTCCTGGGAATTTTCTGCTTCTGCACTCTTCTCGGATTCTCTTTCCTGGCTGGTCTTCTCTTCTGGGCTCTTTGAAGATTCAGGTGAGACACTTCCTTCTTCCTCCTCAACTTTCTCACTGGATCCTTCCTTCTCTGTTTTTGATGAACTGTTAGATTGAGCTCCTAGTCGAGAATATCCTTTCTGAGAATCTTCAGAAGGAGTCTCTGACTCCGGAGTCTCTGTCTTGGTCTCCTTATCTTTCGCAGTGACTACGTCATCTACTTCAGCAGTAACGACGTCCTCATCACCGCCACCCTCTGATGTCCTACCGCTTTTACCCTGAGTCTCATCCTCGTCCTGTGCAGCCTGTTGACGCAATTCTTCGACGCTTTTCTTGAAATCGGCTGCCTTGATCACAAGAGCAGATTGCATCTCATCAGCCTTCTCCAGGATATGGTCCATCTTGGTCTTAGCTGAAGACGTCCTGCCCCTAGTGGATGATCCCGGACGTGCTGATCGAGGTCTCATTCTTTTAACGGGTTCAGCATTTTCATGATCATCCTCCAATTCTATTTTCTCTTTCGCCAAGGATGTCGGAGTATCCGGAGTCTGATCCTTGTGGACGAGGGCTGTCACCGTCACCCTCTCGACAGTTTCCTGGGAAGTACTGTCAGTCGCGTCACGTTGATAGTGAACGTTATGCTGCAAGGATACAGGACTCTCATCAGCCTCTTTCCGAATGCTGGATCCTTCTTCAACATTCTTTACAGGCTCTTCCGCATCCTTAGATTTTGTTAACTCCATAGATTCTTTTTTCGTGGAAACTCCTGATACCGATACATTTACAGCAGCTTGATCAGAATTATCTTCTACATGAGATTTATCACCTCCAATCTTCTTATCCTGTTCCTTCGACTTACCACGTGAACTTTTTCTTCGTGCTTTTGCACAGTTCACTCTTTCCTTCTCCTCACGTGGTGTTTTTGACTTCCTACCGGAAATTACTTTCTCCGATTTTTTCTCTATTGATTTCTTCACAACGACAACTTCTAAGCTATCATCGCTGACACTCCCAAGATGATCATCACTCTTCTGATCATCTTCGTTATCTGTATCCTTCCTAATTCGCCTGTCGCTTCTACGTCGATGATTAATTCTGGCTGATCTGTCCAGGTCAGAAAAGCTAGTAGACTCGCTTGAGGATTCGCTGTATTCATGTTTATGCTTTCTTAATTTTCCTCTTGTGCTTCTTTTCCTTTTTCTCTTTTCCCCAACGTCACTCTCGTATCTAGCTGATTCACTGCGCGTCCTCCTCTCACGATCCTTCCTCGTCTTAGACAAGCGAATCTCTTCCTCGCTGAAGCTTCTGCTGTCCCTACGATCCTTCTTGAGACTTCCTCTTCTCCTCGTTCTCTTCTCTATCCATCGTTCCTCGTAATACAGTTCGGGTTCTCGAAAACCCCTACGTCTTCTACCTGAACTGGGACTCTCGCTCTCGCTACTCGACCCAGCTCTCTTTACTTTTAATTTAGCAGCAAACACTGAAAAACGTACAGAAGTTCCACCGTGTTGTTATTCTACAAATGGAGAATCTTATTTCATTAAAAATCACAGCCAACCTGTCATACCTTTATTAGAAGCCATTCTGTGCGTTCTCAGCTGCTGAGCAGTGGTACCACCGTGCATTTGAATCAACTTGGCACAGTCTCTGTGACCACGGTAAAGCGCGGCGTCCAAGGCTGTCATCAGGTTACCTTTGCTAGTACGAAGAACAGCATTTATCCTGGCGCCGTTATCCAGCAGGACTTTGCAAGCATCCAAGTGGCCGTGTAAAGCGGCAACGTGAAGCGGAGTCCTGCCATCGTGAGTAGCTACATCCAGAGTACTAGGTCTCTTCCTGGCCAACCATTTAATTAACTCTATTCTACCGGATGTTACAGCCTCGTGAGCCACTCCAGTACCCCTGACAGTTCTAGCGTGTAAGGATCCTCCGTGTTGCGCAAGTATCTTCAGCGTCTCCAGCTGACCCTTGGCGGCCGCACACAATGCGGGTCTAGACCAAAAGAACAGGCGATCAGACCTCATAAACTAATTTAAATATTCCCCCAGGTAACTCACGTTCTCCCTTTACGATCCTGTCTATTAGGGTCGGCGCCTAGTCTCAATAAAAGTGCAGTGGCTTCGGCATGACCCAGGGTCGATGCATAATGAAGCGCCGAGCAACCATTATCATCAACGTGATCCGGTTGGGAACCACAGAGGTTGACCAAGGCTTCCACGCATCTAGCATGTCCTCTGGATGCAGCACAGTGAAGTGCAGTCAGACCATCCTTGTCGGATGCACCAGCCGCAGCCGAGCCACCAGCCCTGCGTATAGCACCAGGAACATTTTCAAAATATTTCACAACCTCAGTAGACTCCCTTTACCTAGCCAAAGCAAGGACGGCTTCGACACTTCCTGCACTGGCTGCCCAGAGGATTGGCTGTCTTCCGTCCTCGTCCTTGGCATTGACATCGGCGCCAAATTCCAACAAAGTCTGCAGGACCTTGAGGCCCAATTTCTTCGGCACGGACAACTCAGCCGTGGCTGCTGCACCGCAGCATTGTGCCGCATAATGAAGCGGCGACCCACCTCGATGATCAGGAGTCGAAGGCCGCGCACCAGCTGCCAGGACTAGTCGAACGCACTCGGCTTCTCCGCAGACTGACAATAAGATACAGAAACTATAAGATAAGAATGCGCATTCATATTTTTTTTTTCTTTACTTATCCAAATGATCGGTAGACATTTTTTTGCTGCAAGGATATTCACTGTTGCACTTTATTTGTTTTTTTCTTCATATCGTGCTCCTTCCTGCGAGATAGAATCGAGTTGCGTCATGTTGCAGACTCAGTGAACGAGTCGAAGGACTATTACTCTTCGCTCGTTTAAATAAAGCAAGGACGCCTATGGTCAATCTCAGCAGATTATCTCAAGACTAGCGTGAGGCCCAGATCGACCTGAACTACGTAACCGCACGCGACCCACTGACCTTACTTGACCAAGCTGCCCATTGGCTTAGCCTCCTTTCTCGAGAGATCTACCAATCCGATAACAGTGTTACCATCCTACGAGAATCCTGTTCCTTAGAGCCAGTTATTTCCATAAAATTTTATCCATGTACCAGAAACTCATGTACAATTATAGACTAAGTACGATTTTTGAGTCATCTTTTAAAATGCTTCGAAGAAACTGAAGTCTGCATGAGTGAAGGTCTAATGGTATTATGTTTAATGTATGTATGTATGTATTATTATTAATTTTGTACCCGTAGCCCAGTGAAGTACACTGTGTCCTTCCAAGTCTTTGGCATTGACGTCTGCACCATTGGCCAATAGTACAGCAACGAGCTGAGTGTCCCCAGCAATGACTGCCAAATGCAAAGGTGTGTGACCCTCTGCATCAGGAGCATTGACCAGTTCCGGTGCCGCCGTAGCCACGGCACCGCCAGTTCCGGCATCCATACAGTAATGCAAAGCGTTCCTCAGGGTTCTGTCTCTGAATCCAATGGTCTCGCTTTGTTCCCTTAACAGTCTTAATACTCGTATTCTGTCTGCCTGTTGGCAGGCGTGCATCAGGGGTGTCGCACCTATTGGTAAGACTCTAAGGAATTTATGAAAAAAGAATAAAATTAATTTTTTTATTTTTTCCAGCTTCATTTTCAGGCTGATGCATTTTTATTTCAATCGAGAGAATACCCCCATTTTGGTACCTGTATGGCCTTTCCTGGTGGTGATCTTGCGCTCTTGGTATGTAAGATGTTCCTCGTGTCCAGGATGAGCCAGGATTCTTTGGTATCTGACTACGACTTGGTACTGGGGTCAAAGGTGGTAATGATACGTCTGCTGTTCTTTCTTGTTTTCTTACTTGGACTCTCTCGGGCTGTTTCTGTGGAATCGGTGGAGTCTTAGTGTCCATACCCGATTTTACCACCGATTTTTTCTAGATCGGCTCCATCTATAAAGACAAGTGAAATCTTTGACTGATATTTATTTAAATTACAGATTTTAGTTTGAACGTCCAAGGGGTATCCGATACTACTCACTTCCTAAAAGCTCGACCATTCTTACAATTAATTAGGACAGAAGTTCATTATCGTTAGATCAATTAGGGTCGCAACCCTTAAAACAGTGACCTCGTTCTTAAATCAAGGAAATTGGGCACGGTCTCGGATGTGAATCTGTTAAGATCTTCAAAAGCCAAACTGTGGGGCTGAGAATGAGTTGGGTGACCACGTGGTGAATTGACCTGGTCACTCGGTACCATAGAAACCGTCCACCACAACACCCGATGCCGATAAAGAATTCTAATAGCGAATCTCACGACAAGGTCGCCACGTGTCCAATTTTTATGTTACACCTGGACGGGTGACGTGCGTGCTTGGATCAAAAGTCTATTTGTCTCCTTAGACAGTAGGAGAGCAGAAAAAAGCAAGGGCATCGCTGGACGGGACCTTGAAAAATTAGGACAATTTTCAAGGACTCGACGAGTCGAGTTCTCAATCGATTTCTACAGGTCAATATAATATTAATGAATCTGTATGAATTTTTTATATTAATTTCCATAAGACAAATGGTATTCGATTGTCTGATACCATTATTACGAAACCTGTCTTTACTTTAGCAGTGAAAGGGTTGATAATGATAATAGTACGTGGGGAATTCACCAGCTAAAAATATTCACCCAGGGTGTTGAGGTGGTTGCGGATCGACTGGAGACACCCCGTTGTATTATTTCATTTTATTGGAGAAGTCCCCCCGGAGAGACTACTTTAATATGGACGCAGGGGTCTTCTTCTACCAAGTGGAACAGTGCTATATGCTTCTTAAGCAGCAACGTCTACGTTCTTAGACTCAGCTGCCTGTCAGCTCTCACGCTATGTCTAAAGCTCTCGCTAAAGGTCTATTTACGAACCCTTTTACACTTCGCAGCCTTTATTATTGCTTAGTTTATAATCTCGCCATTTTGTGCTGCTACATAATCCATTCATCGGACAGCACGCGGATTGATGTTTAAAAAACATTTGGTCGTTCAATCAAATATTTGATAATTTAATAAAATCATTTAAACTATTTCATTGACGATTTTATAGTGAAAATTATAAGAATTTATTACAATTTTAATAAATTTCTCTTTAATAATTCATATTATTGTTAGCTTTTTATTCTTATGCGAAATTCGATTAGAATTTTTTTATTTCAAGGTATTCCGGAGGAGAATCATAAACCAGACTTAATTCAGCATTCATCACGTGGACGGTCGAAGTTGTCAGTGAAAAAATGACTCAAGTCCATGTACCGGAGTAAATGTGGAAAACACCCGAGCCAAGTACTAACTACTCACACATATCGATTTCTCTTATGATAATAAGGAAAGCTAGTGCCAATACTTATGCGAGCACTGTCACGCCTACGTTTTTACACTCTCATATACGTTTCTTCAGCTTTTCTGTTTTCAGTCTTGACTATTCTAGTGCGCTTTCTGATTCTACTAAATCGTTTGGAGTCTCGTTTGTCTGATACAAATCTTGTAAAACGCGGGATATTCAATTTTCAAAATTATTCATTCTATACAGAAACTGGCAAGAGCAGATCAAAGTAAAATGAGTTTTTTTTTAAGTTTTAATTAAACTTTTTTTAGGTAATTCAGTTTTAATTGTATAGGGTCTTGGATTTTATTTTTATTAAAAATTAAGCATATATTGTCTTACGGAATAAGTGTTATATACATGAAAAGCGATTTCATCCACATAAGAAAGTTTATTCCTAGAAAGTTATCACGTATAGACATATAACATGCACCACGTGCTCGTGTTCCAACAGCTCTATGACTGGAAATCGTTATTCCATCAAATAAACCGGTACGCTCGTCTACTAGGAACGTAGGTCGTTAATGATTCATCAACCCGTTTAATATTTCGCGTGAAAATCTTCCATGCCAAGTTCGATTACGTCGTAATAGGTAAAATCGCTGCAGAATTCGATTTTCCCATTTGGTCGGTTTTGCCGTGGTGAACTGATTGATATCCGCAGAAAATTTCCCGTTGGAATAAACCGCCAATAAAAAGTCTGGTTACTCGTTTGAAAATAAACAAATAAAATTTAAATTTAACTAATCGAACGTTAGCGACGTTTTAAAAAAAAATGTCATTGGAGTTTGGTCCATTTATACATAGCGTGTGTACAGTTAATTTTTTTTTACAATAAATAAATTATTCACTACTTGTGCTACGGTGCAGTCGAGAGGAATCTTACTTCTTCGAATGTTTTAGGGACTTCCCCGTTTTTCGCCATTTCCATAACGAACGGTGTCCTGCTTCTGTGATGATCTTGAGGCTTTCGAAGAGTACCGCCACACGAAACTCCAATCTCTCAGAGGGTGAAACGCTCCTTATGAGGGTGGGACGCGCACTGGCGTCCTTCTGTTAGCGTGGCGTATAAATGTAAGGGTTGCTTAGATACCATCGTTTCAGTAACGTATCTAGCTATGGTACCGTTACTTTTTTTTTACTTTTCAAGCGGTTAAACTTGATGAATTAAAACGGGATCTCTGAATATTTAGTTATTCGATAATAATATTATTAAAATAGTAATTAAGCTTTTGGATTGTCGTTTTATATTATTGTTTTGGTTAGTATCAATTATTTCATTACTACGTGTGAAATTCACAATGCTATTCAATTCTTACAAGTGGGGGTATAGCTCAGTGGTAGAGCATTCGACTGCAGATCGAGAGGTCCCCGGTTCAAACCCGGGTGCCCCCTCAACTTCATTTTTGCAATTGTTTACAACAAATAATAATAAAAATAAATAAATTTTCTCGAGACTTAACTTCACTTATAGATATCACAAATATTTAAACTGATAAAGCTAATAGAATTGTTATTAATGTCAAATTTATTTTGAATCTTGTCTAATTAGACTGTGATAATAAATCTTTTTTTTACACACTAAGCTAAATTATCAGCTATTTGTTCTTTATTATATATTATTACGTAATTAGTCAATATTTAAAATCGTAATTAAGTTAAGGAATTATACAACTTTTAAGTTGATTATTTATGGCGCAACTCAAGAAAGTGTTGTACAGACGGTTTGATATGTCAGAAGTAAATTATGATTTTGCTCAATGTGAGAATTATCATTTGAGTTCATCATCCTTGTATTTATCTGGTTTATTAAAATCTATGGATATGGAAATGTCAGTAGGCCAGTACCAAGTGTCAAAATGATCAGTCGAAAAAGCGACAAGATGACTAGGAGCTTCCGCTATGTATGACGAGACATGGCGACGTGTGGCTCGAATTGTTTTCGGTCTTTCCTGTAGTAAATAATCAGGGTTTATACTCATCAAAAACATATTGTAAATATCTTCGATTAAGCATTAGGCTAAGCAGGAATAAAGTTTCAGCACAATAGTCTCAAGCGGCAAAATGAATTACAATCATTCTGGTGCACGAAGAGGTAAGTTCGGTATTTGGTTACAGATGGTGATTCATTTTTTTTTTTAAACGATTTTGGTCGTCAATTAAATGTTTAAAATATATTTCTTTTATTAAGGACTATAGGATAGGATGAATTCTGACGTTGGATAGTAATTATATTACAAATTTTTCAGACAGTACTATGTTTATTAATATCTTGTAAACTATTGGATGGTGAGGTTAACTTTGGGTTTTATATATCAAGTGAATGGATATCAAAGGACGATATTTAGAGGAAAATGTCGTTCTTTGAAAATAGATACATTAATTTTATGTAGAACAGGTTATCATTAGTTGATTTTTAATCTTTGCATATCGATGGCAAGGCGAATTACTTACAGGAAAGCCAAAAAGGATATTGGATCCGTCAGCTGGTCTTTCTGCGCCAGCTTCATCGTCACCACAAAGTCCATATGTGTATAATCAACAAGTTGGATCGGTAAATATTTCTTTTTATATGTAACGTAATGATGAAAATATTGCTTTACTTTATACTGAATTTGTAGATGCCTATGAATAGTGGCCCACCACCAGAATATGGTTTTAATATGCCTGAGCAAACCCCACCATCGTATGGCTTTAGCACAGCACCTATGCCTGGATATAATCCCAATGATACTCGTACAGAAGGATTTACTACACCACAGTTTGCCACGCAGCTATTAGCAGAACCAATGGTCACAAATATGGCAGTGCAGTACGGCAATGCTCTAGTTGGTTCGGGGAAGCAGCAGTTGGAAAAGTATGTGCCTGTAACAGCATTGAAATATTACTTTGCTGTTGACACGGATTATGTCATCGCGAAATTATCTCTTCTGTTCTTTCCATTCACACAAAGAGTGAGTACTGTATCAGAATTATTTCTGTTTGATTAATCACTATTATATAATAACTTTGATATGCTAAATACCCTTTATTATATTAAACAGGACTGGTCAGTGAAATATGAGCAGGATGGTCCATTGCAACCACGCTACGAAAGGAATGCTCCTGATTTATACATTCCAACAATGGCATTCTTGACATACGTTGTAATAGCTGGTTTAGCTCTTGGAACACAGGAACGTTTCACTCCGGAGCAGCTAGGTATCTTGGCTAGTTCTGCACTGGCTTGGGGTATCATAGAATTAATTGTTCATACTATAACGCTTTACGTGATGAATTTAGACACAAGTCTGCGGACCCTCGATCTGTTAGCTTACTGTGGTTACAAGTACGTAGGTGTGAACATTGCAGTGTTCTTATCACTAATATTTCAACAGTTGGGCTACTACGTTGTCTTATTGTACTTCAGCATATCCCTAGCATTCTTTCTAATACGGTCACTAAAATTGAGAGTCATTCCAGAAGGTCATAGTTCGTATACAGCTTCTGGAAACAAGAGAAGGCTCTACTTTATTCTTTTCATTGCTAGCATTCAACCATTATTAATGTGGTGGCTATCTTTCCATTTGATTCCCTCCAAAGCTACTTAGGATACCAAAGGCGTGCTTAAAAGGAAGATCAAAGCCTGCGTGTATTTATGTGACAATGAATATCTCCCATGCATTTTTATAATAAAAAAAAAAAAAGAAATTCCCCATAAGCCTACACGTACGCAATTTTTCTATAAAAGTTATGCTCCTGCGTTAAATTAATTTACTACTAGAGTTTGTTTATTGCTAAGAAGTACCATAACTGCTGGTTACATTCTAAGGAGTATACAAACATCTGTATGTAATATGAATAAGTATCAATAGAAAATAATGAAAATCATTTGTGTATATTCTTCAAGTATATTTTTCTTCATTATTCAAACAAACATGACACAATTTAAAAGACAAGTATGACATCGTACAGCACAACAAATATAGAGTGACCTAAATTATTGTTTATGACTTCCATCATTCAACCTATTATATCTACTACAGATGTTAAGATGTTCAGCAAATCCTTCTTTTCATACATATACGATACCTGAATAGACTGAACACGTCCCTTTATTCTGTGCCGCGTGATTTTGATATGTAGGACATAAATCTATATATATCATTTCAATTCGTAAACCCGACCTGTTGATCTTGACGACACCCCCGCTTGTGTGACGCCATATCCCATAAGATGTCCAGTCATTCAATGAGACCCCATCAGTCAATAATGTCACTGCGAACGTTTTGAGGTAATGATATAAATGTACCAAAGTATCCCGCAAAAGTTGAATCTCAATCAACACTACAGGTCTGACATTTTATCGGAGGGGTTAAACGAGCTACCAATATTCTTCCAAAGATGTCGTCAGCGTCGTCTAAGCGGCCGTCATTAAGCCATTCCGATGGGGCGCTGCAAGCGAGTATCAGAAAATCAGTTAGCCGTAAGCCGCGGTGAAGTGAAGGTGTATTGTGTGTTATTGTGGGCCGAGAGGCCGAAAAATGGCGGAGCGGACGAAGGCGACGGCCGCGGCCACCCGGCCCGTTCCCATGAAGCTCTTTGCCACCTGGGAAGTCGACCGGACCCCTCCCAACTGTATACCCAGGTAAACAATCACAGAGCTTCTTAATGATTCCTACCAGATAATCTCATTGAAGAATTCAACGTCCTAGGAAGTCGTGTCCCGCGCTCTTGGACGCCAGCGCGTTGGCGGGCATTCACACGCCCTTTTTTTATAATCGCCCGCGTTTTTAATCTCCAATACTCCGTGCAGAGGACACTCACCAACCCCTCGAACTCCTCTCACCTCCGACAACCTTTTCTTTGTCTCGTTACTTTACTCTTCCATACTTTTCTCTCACCTACCGCTAAACTCGACATCCACCACGTAGTTGTTCCTAACTAACGGATGCTAGCTGTCAATTCGACGTGACAGATCTCGGCGTGAACTCCCCTGTTATATATATATATATACACACACACTCATAATATGCATCCTGACAGTTTCCTCGTTGCCTAGGACCTAATTTTTCTGCATTCTGCACTTACTGCCTGCTTAACGAACGATCCACGAGTGTTTTTATTTATCCACTGACTTTCATACAATCATTGTACGATACTGCGATGTCTGACGTAAAAGTAATAATAAAATGTAGAAAAAAAATTGAACTCTGATAATCAATTTCTTTTTCGTTGACTTAGAGTTGATTCCAGGTTAGCCGTATAAAAATTTGTCTCTGAGTTCTCATGTAGATTTTTTTAACGTGAATCTGTCTCACTCTTATCAGTCTGATCGATTGAATGCCGATTTCGTCAACCTGCAATTCCAGGGTTAGCCGAATTTCAATGATTAATTACTGGCGCGATCGATTCGTGGATTCTTTATTTAATGATTACTGCTATCTTAACGATCCTGATAGCATAATCTTTTAATGTATTCAGTTGCACAGTCGATAATCGTTGACACTGGAGAATTGTTAGATAATTTATTTCATAAATGGGAAGCTCTGTCCTGGTATTTTTAAATCAAATAACAGTATTAAATTGACCAATGTGTGTTTTTTTTCCGTATTTTCAATGTCTACATAGCAGCCATGTATAAAGTCAATTTTCAATTGTCATTTACTGCATATTCGAATGTTAAAAGTCCAATTGTACCTGAAATAGGTATTGATTGCCGCGAATAAAACTTAACTCAACGTCTTTGGACAAAATTAATCGTCTTGCACGTTTTTTTATTTGTATTATTCTTATTCTCTCTCCAGCCTCGTTAATGCGCAAAAGCCCAGTCTCGAATCAATTCGTACGCAGCAACGTCGTGAATGGTCTGAAGCGATACTAATCGTCACCCAGGATTAATAACAGAGAGTAGATTCAGGTATAATGTCCTAATTGTAAAATTATTACAATTTTTATTCCCCCCCCCCCCCC